CATACACACACATACATGCACACACGCACATGCACACATACACATGCACACATACACACACATGCACACATACACACACACTCATGCACACATACACATGCACACATACACACACACATGCACACATACACACGTACATGCACACATACACATATACACACACGCACACATACACATGCACACACACACACACATACACACACATACATGCACACACGCACATGCACACATACACATGCACACATACACACACATGCACACATACACACACATACACACATAAAATTATTCATATCTATATTGGTAAACAGAAACATATATACACTGAAGATGAATGAGAAAGAAACAAAAGAGAAGTGTCTTATATCTTTGTCAAAGCCTGAGGGATGTAAGAGAAAAAGGCAATTTAAAGGCACGGGACTGAAAACAAACTCTTCAAAAAATGGAAAAACAAACAAGTGTCTTTTCAGTAATACTGTTCCTTCAGCAATAACAATATTGTATTGTAACCACCAGTGCCCAGTAAATACACCACACCTGTATAGTGGATAAGGGCCACAGCTTTATTGAACTTGTGAACCAGCATTACTTCCAACTGACAGTTGATGGGGGTGATTGTTCCACCAGACAGATATCACTTTCGGTTCCCAGAGTCCGAAGCAGCCTGCCTTCTGCCTCCAGCCCAAGCAGGCTGCGACTCCCCGATCCGAATTGGCACTTGCCTTCACATGCGCTGGCCAGATATCCCGCTGGGATAAAAACAAAACAGAGACAACAAGACACAGAAAGCCACCACAACCACGACCAATCATAAGCAACGCGCATTACAATATTACAGGAAGAGCGGGCGGGAAAGAGCTCTTCTCAATTACACTATTTCCTTCGAAGTGGTAAGTGCCCACCCCCCAGGCTGCCTTATATCTGTACCCATTGTTTACCTTTGATCCAGCCCCTTCCTTGGCAGTCCAGGTAATCTCTGGACGTAAACAGTACTTAGAATGAACCCTGACTGTGTTCTGGGAGTTGAATGACAGAAGGGACTGGAAACAAGACTTGTAAACAAATAAGGTAGTGTCTCTACAGCCATAGCAATGGAGTCTCACAGATTCCCCTATATAGTTGTCCATATATGTACTGAACATTTTTTTAAATAGTGAGAATAAATAAAGGAATGTTCCTCCAATAAGTTCAATAAACTTTGTAAAATAATATTGTGACGAGACCAATCTCGCCACATTGCATTGGAAAAGCCGGGTTGCTCGCCTGTTGCCTTGGGATTATGGCCCCATGTTAAAAGGAAAAGCCAGGTCATTTGGTGCTTGCCCTGTCTGAGCAGTGATACCCCAGATAGCTATGCCATGGAGCCCATTCGTATAATGAAAGACTATGGGAAAGACTTTGGCTCCATGGCAATTGAACTGTATGTGTGTGCTCTGAGCGCCATTCAGTAATAATGTGCGCTCAGACCTAAGCTATCTGGGCATATGTTGCATGTCTGTATTTTATGTCATAAATGTAACCTTGTGTATTTTATAGTATTTTACTGTCTTTTTTGCTGCCATGTGTTCAATGGAGTTTTGCCTCTGTCTTTGGAGATAATTGGATTACTTCTAATTATCTCCAGGATAGAAGACTCTGTGGAACTGGTTTTGGGCAGAAAAGCCATGCTTCCTGTGGTCACAAAGGACTACGATCTATCTTTTGAACCACTGGACCAATTTGTATGATGTTGACGTATGTTTGTATTTGGAGTATGCTGATTCTGAAAATGTACGTTTTATGTGAATGTGATGCATACTTTTCAAGTTATGAATAATGTGGAAAAATTGTATTTCTCTGCTTGTGCTAAATTATATTACCCATTGTGTAAGGTAATTGAATCACATGCAGAGGGGAGGAATTTGTGTGGGAGTGTCTGAGTGTATTGTATGTGTTTATTGGTTGTGTTCCAAAACCCTGTGGGTGGTACTAATATGTAAGAATGTGTACATAAGCACAATAAACCCACAGCTCTGTCTGTTCACTGCTTGACCCTCAACACGCTTTGTCTCGTTCTTGGGGGGATTTATTGTATGCTGTTCCAGTTTGACTGCTAGGAGTGTAAACCTATTTGTATGGTTTTTCCTATTCAGCTGTTTACAGCATTCGTATGGTTTCCTGTTCGGCGGATTGGTGTTCTGCAGTAGCTGTGCCTGCATCTCTTGAAAGGGGGACGATCGCCTAAACGGTTTTTACTCCTTGTGTGCTGAAACTGTCCGTTACAAATATCTTAACAATATGCATGTTTATTATTAACATTTGTACAAAATGAATTCAATCAAAATCATTAAAGGACCACTATAGGGTCAGGAACACAAACATGTATTCCTAAACCCTATATTTAGGTGGCTTTTTTTTAACCTTGAAATTTTTTTATTTATTTCACCCAAAACAAAAATATATCATCTCATTATGTTATTTTTTTTTTCAGTTCAAGATCTAAAACCAGATCAAATTCTAGCCTGGAAAAAAGATTTGGGTCTGCAATGTGGCCTGGAGGAATGGCTTGTGTTACGGTACCTTCAGTAATAAATGTACAAACCGCCGTTTAGTGAATGCTCCCCGTTCGCAATAATGTTGTCTGGTAGCGTATACAATACAAGCATGCGAACCGCCAGCCAGGGAACAGTCCAAACTCCCGAACGGTACCCGTACGGCTCCTTCCCTTCACGAGCTTCAAATACACGAACTGCCAATATCAGCCGAACGCCAATATCTTCCAAGCGGCAAATAATTCCAATGAGCATTCTCTAGTCGCCGGTAATAAAATCCCCCCAATAACGAGACCAAGCTTCGCTTTGAGGGTAAAATACAAACTGAGTTTACTGTGGGCTACCTGCCCGTATTTATGCAGGTCTCCCACTTGGTAGACACTCCCCTAGGGGACCAAATGGGAGACTGGAATAGCAGATGGACATGGGGACATTTCAGACATACAATCCCACAATATTCCCAGCATACATCACAGTTTCCTCCCCTCTGCTCGGGAGATAATTGAGAAGTAATTCAATTATCTCCCAGAGCAGAGGCAAATTGCCATTTTAAGTACAAGTCATAAAACACATAAAAATACATAACTTTATAACTGCCGAACATATTACATACTGGGGTAAGTCCATTCGTGCCTTTAAATCTCCCGAACGGCCGGTGTTCGCACACTTCTGTCGATTGAGAAGGGAGGTCGACAGCTTCAGCGGTGTTCGGTTCCATGAAATAACCGTCGAACACCGCTGGTCTTTTGCATGGTTAAAATGGCCGCCGCCTCGTGGTCGACATACGAACGACGACCACCCTGTATTCGGTTTTAATTGAGAGGTGTCTGTGGTTAACTGCAACATTCTAGTTGGTATCAATAGGTTAACCAGCAGCACACTTCTCTTCTGGGTGGCCGTGCGTTCGGTAGTTCCGTTCGACAGAAAAATACATTCCCTTAAACAAGGCATACGAATGGGGAAATTCATGCAAACGGCAAAACAGACGAACACAGCAATTCTAGTTCATACGGATGGGTCTGTCACAGCTTGCATTCACATCATCTCTCAAAGGGATCACACAGTGTTCCAACCATAGAAAATAAAGACAACATTTTATACCGGTGGCACATGGCCCCTTCAAGACTTCATAAAATGAACACAAAATATTCAGGTAGGTGTTGGAGGGGATGTGGAGGCCTTGGTATTCTTTCACATATATGATGGCACTGTGCAAAATTGCAGCCAGTCTGGCAGGGATTACATTCACTGATTAAAAAGATAGATCCGTCAATTATAGCATTCTCTCCAGAGGTGGGTTTATTAAAAAATCTCCCTAAGACATCAAGTAAATTAGATAGAATCATGGTCGATCATGCCTTGTTATTGGAAGTTGACTATTTAACCACCAATTAAGGAAGCCCTGATTTTAGTGCTTGATAACAAAAGGTATGAACTGGCGTTGCAGCAACCCCTCACCTCAATAAATGAATTTGCAGTTACATTGGACATCTGGGAAAATAAGTTTCTCCTGTAGACAGTTCCACACGCCCTGTTACATGTTGATATACAATATATTTAGACATATAATTGTTATATTACTCTCTGTATTATATTTTGACAGGATCAAATCCACTATTTTATTATTATACATTTGGATAGGACCTGTCCCCTCCCTTTTTAAAAAAAAATAAAAATTTCTCTTTG